AGTCATTGATCCAATGTTGATCATCTACTATTTACCTGCCTTCTATTTGTTGTGACTAATGAAGTAACTCTGCTTTTTGAAGAGCAGCCATAAAAACCTTGATTTTGCTGTTTGTATTTTTGTTTTCTGATGATTTCCAACCAGAGGACCAGAAAGTGCACTAGGTTCTGGCCACTATGCATCAGCTAAACGCCTTGTGTTTGCTAGTATCATGTAAAAAAATTTATGACCTCAAATTAGAGATTTAGAATCTCACCTAATTTCAGTTTAATATAAAACAAAGAGGCCAGCCAACTGGACATAGTAGTGGTGGACAAACAGAAGAAGAAGGCCGCACTGATAGATGTAGCAATCCCAGAGTGATAGCAACATCAGGAAGAAGGAACGCAAGAAGCTCGAGAATGTATTAAGATTTAGATTTTGTAAATTTATATATGTGTGTGTGTGTGTGTGTGTGTGTGCGTATATAAAGAGAGAGAGAGTATCTCTTTATCTGGTGGATACAATGATGTCGGTGTATTAGACACATTTCCCACAAGATCATTTTCAGAGGATTCAACACTAACTAAAGCCCTGCAGCATCATCTGGTGGACAGTTAGAAGAAAACCCACCAGAGCTTTCTAAGACAAACCAAAACCCTCTTTCACAGCAGATATATTTTAACATGTATGAGACAGAATCAGAATGGCAGAGGGTGGAGGCTTTTGTTTTTATGACAAATATAAAGTTGTAAAATATTTACTGTATCTCCTAATTTTATTACTCTCTCAGGAAAGCAACAGGTATTAATTATGGGGAGGTGACGGCGGTGTGGTGGTTTGAGCAGTCATCTCCCAACTGGAAGGGGAGGCCACGTGTCGAAGTGTCCTTGGGCAAGACATTGAACAGTAAGTCCTACATCTCAGGTGGCAATAAGACAAGGTTTTCCGTTGCCATTTAATGGTATAGGATTGTGAAGATGCAATGTCTCAATTCACTGAACTTAATGTTTACACTGTGACTTTAAAGGGCATATTCTCCTGTATTCTTATTCTTCAGCTTCCTCCATAGCTCTTCTCATATTTACTCACTCCACCAAAGTCAAACTACAGCTGCTCTTACACACTACAAAGAGTTTCCACCTGGGCTACACACCTTACAATGAGTCATTTGCACTGCTTTCCATGTACAGTACATTTCATAAGCTATTATGCATCTCATCACCAACGCCCCTGGTGATGCTAACATCTAACAATCTTCTTGTCATTATTTGTTTGTACATGGCTTTGAGTTTCTTCATAGCCTATTAGGTTGTACCATTGAGTTTATCCTAATTACTTTAATTCAGTTTTCATATTCTATTTATTCTGTGTTTATTCTATTTTAGTTTTTTAAATGGTATGGGCATTCAATATTAGGCGAGAGAAAAACAGTATTTCGATTTTCCTGTGTGTCCTGCACATATAGTGAACTGACAATAAAAAAATCTTTGATCTTTGATAGCGTCACATGGAATGATTGTAAACATAAATGTATGAGCATACTGTATATTGACTGTAGGTAAATATTTTTGTAATAGATTTTATTTCTGACAAGTGATTAATAGTATTCAGTGTGATATAATGAAGGTTGAAAGATGGTCTTACATCTGGGGATTTAAGGTGCCAGTTGTTAAGCCGTGTTATATGTTCTTTGCTATTACATCAATGCCTACTAATGCACTCATGGTGGAAGATGACGAATTGCCGTTATATTTAAGGGGATTAAAGCTGTCGCTGGTTTACTGGGCTGAGTTGAAGGAATCAGGAGTGGATTTCCTTCAACAAAAGTGCTTTGTGGTCGTTGGGAATTTTCGCAACAACAAAAAGTTAAGGATTTCATTGAAATATTAATACAGTAAGGTAAGGTAAGGTAAGGTAAGGTAAGGTAAGGTAAGGTAAGACAAGACTTTATTGATCCCACAGTGGGGAAATTCCAGTGTAGCAGAGGAATTTGGTTTAAATAGATTAAAGTATGAACCAAATGCAGTGTGGGGTAACATTCTTCCATGGATAGTTCCGCTGGGTTCTGTAACACACTTTACAAAACACAACAACCTCTATTGCCAAATGTGGATTTGCAACTTCTGGAGCAGAAGACAACAGATTGATGGGAAAGTAAACAACACTGGATATTTAGTACAAGATTATTTAAAGAAGAATTATGGTTGAGAATATGTGGGGATGCTGAAAGGCTCTATTTACATTTCTCAAAAATACAAGATTAGAAACTAAGATATAGTCTTGTTTGTTTGCTTTTATCCTGATGGTCAAAAAAGTGTCACTGATGTGACACTCCGGTGCAGTAGGTGGCGGTAGTACAATGGTTTAAGACCCGTTTTTAAAATAGAAGAAGAACAACAACAACAACAACAACAACAACAAGAAGAACAAGAAGAACAAGAAGAACAAGAAGAAGAAGAGGACTATATAGGGAAAATGCTATAATGGCTTGTGATCATACACACAGATGGATCTTAGGATCCTGATACTGAATATATAGGAATTGTTTTGTTTTGTTTTGTTTTTTCCATAAATTCTCAGCATATTTCACACATTCACTGACAAACTGTATGTATTATCTGCAGAGATTATTGCAATAACTTTTGTGTTGCTTCGGATAGAACAAGTTCAGCCACTTATAACAGGAATTTGCTCAGGCAAAACTGTTAGAGAAGATCTTATACCTGAAATACATATAATGCTGTGTAAAAACAATATTATAATTAATGAGGAAAAGTCATTAAAGTCTTTGTTAGTGGTGTATGTGCAGATTCTCAGTCATCCAGGTCATAGTAACTGAAAAAACCTTAGAAAAAAATCAACTGGACTTCTGATGAAGCCTTTTGGATGAGAGGTGAAATGTCTTCGACCTAGAAATCTAAGTCCACTTGATTTTTTCTAAGGTTTTTTCAGTTTTGTTAGTTGTGTAGAATTCCAAAAGATGCTGAGCATGTTATTATGAATTGTTCTAAATGTTATTCAGAGAGGGAGACACTCAGGGAGTTAGTGCATGAAACAGGACAGGAGTGGAGTTTAAATTCACTACTGGGTATAGAGTAAGGTTCTGGGATATTAGAAGAGGATTAATTTACTTAATCATGGAGACAGGATGAGCAAATACGACATAGTGCTTCTTTTCTTAATTTTTCTTTTTTCCCAGAGCTAACTTAATGCTGTGACTCATTGGCTGTATGGTGAAGAGAAGAAGAAAAAGGAGGACGGATGTGATGCTCATGAGATGCATGAAGCTAATTAATGGTTTCATCTGTTTACTTTATGCCTCACACCAGGCCATGAGTAAGATAGCACGTTACACTGCAATACCAAAGACGTTAATTAACGTAGTATGTACAGGCTAACTGATGTTAACGTTAGCCTGTGTCTGTACAGAAGTTACTTAATGTTAAACCTTTATGTCACTTTTCGTGTCAGCATGTTACTGCTGTCTGTATAAATGAGACACTTAATGCAAATAGCTTTTGTAAATGCTGCTCAAGTTTACACACCCACCCTCTCTTGTTGGTTTAGCATGCAAATTATAAAACCACTGTCTCACTCTCTCAGAACTTGATTTTTATATGTGCAGCAGCAGTTTGCAGGTTATGAAAGGATATGAGTGTGAAGGGAACAAAGGGGGTGTAAATTTAAATACATGTTTAAACAAAAGCAGCTCAAAAACAAGAGCGCCACCTTTGTATATTAACTATTCTGTTTTTGTTCACACTGTTGTCTGACATTTCAGTCTTGTGGTCTACAGATGTTATTGGGTTAATGTAATTTCAGCACAATGAATGTTTCATGAAAAAATGTTTTAAAGTTTGCAAATAAACAGAAATGCAGCGACCTGCAGAGTTTGGGAGTTACAGTATGCAGACGTGTGGCTACCCCTATTGTATGGCTTCTGTAACAAGTTAAATACAGCAGGTAATATTCATCATTCTTACAGTTCTAACTTGCATATAAAATCAAAGTTATGATAATGTAATTCCACTCCAAATGAATTTGTAAGGTTAGAAATATTCTTGATAAAGGTGTCTTAGTCCATTTATGGATATATCAAAGAGGACTACATGAAAGAATATGGATTAGCACATTGAGGTCAATGTTAACTGCAGGTTATCATAACATTTCTGTATAATAAATACATATTGTCTATGACTGATTATGTTTTTGAAAAATTACCTAACCCTGTGTATAGAACAGATGTGTCTAATATTAAGCACAGTAGTCATAATCAGCCAACTTTAGTTAAGATATGTTTACGTGGCCGTGTTCCAATATATTTGTTTTACAGCAGATCAAGGGGATACGTTTGTCCTAGCTTTGATGATAAGATAAACAGATAAAAGATAGTTTATACTATACTGTAGGTATGAAAAGGTTATCAGCCTGGTTAAAAATAATACTAGTTTTTTTGTACTGCACTATAAACAGATACATCATTTGCTTCTCTGTGGTATTTCTGGGAAAAGAAGTGTTGCTGTAGCATTAAACAGCACTTCCAATTTTCACCAGTAACCATAGATGTCGCCAAAGAAACCAGGACTGAAATCTTAAGTGCTGAAGCTTTAAATACATCTCATGTTCACTAACTTCACACCAAATGCGTCAGTCTCTGGAGATTTACCTCCTGCTGCACCGCTGTGCTGTTTTGCATGCGCTTCCTTCCACAGCCTGAAACGACTTGGCGGCAGCATGAGTCAGGCACAGATGCTTTATCACTGTAGAATCTTGTCCAGTCAGCAGTACCATTCGCACCACAGCACGGCGCCTGGAAGTATATGTGAGTCATATGAAAAACATTTCATCCGGATGTTCCCATTGTAAGTTTGCAGATGACAATGCACATTAAAATAATGCAATAATGCCAGCAGATGGCGGAAAAATTATGTCATGTCACACCGTGCCACCCAACAGGATGCAGAGTGTTATGTGAAGGTGTTGTCAAGCTAAATAAACAGTGAGTAGGAGAGACTCACTTTCATCTGCACTAGATCCATAGGGAGTCTGTTTTTCTTGCAGGTGAAGAACCTGTAGCTGCTCATCATTTCGTTGATGGTATAACGGACAATGGATTGGACCTAGATTGGAGATGCAACATGGCAGCCAAAGTTAAGCTGTGCCTTCTGAAGGGTTTTATCTAACAAACTAAGCAATGAATTTATTTGCTCACTCTGTTCCTGAAGACGAATCCAGCGGTTGCTACGGCAATCAGAGCAAGGAAGATCAGTACAAGTAGCATGACAAACTGCAAGAGAGAAAAATGAAAAACAGTTACAATGCAAATACTATACTAAGACCCATTTTACACAGAGATATCATAGAAAACTGCTGGTGTTTTGATCCTTCTTTAAGGCAGATTTTTAAGCCCCTTTTACACCCATTCATCCATCCATTTTCCTCCGCTTATCCGGGGCCGGGTCGTGGGGGCAGCAGTCTAAGCAAAGATGCCCAGACTTCCCTCTCCCCAGACACTTCCTCCAGCTCCTCCGGGGGAATGACGAGGCGTTCCCAGGCCAGCCGAGAGACATAGTCCCTCCACTGTGTCCTGGGTCTTCCCCGGGGCCTCCTCCCGGTGGGACATGCCCGGAACACCTCTTTACACCAATCTTAAAAAAAGATGAGAAACTGCTGCTCCTGTGCTCAATTCGTACAGCTGCTGGAATCTTGGCTGGTACTAGAGGCATAAAGATATGCAATTATAGACAACAACAATAATAAACACTACATTGCAATGGATTAGTTTTTTGTAATTACTTGGGGTGGGTTTATTTCATGTTTCATTCTGTTTTAATATGGGTTGCTATAATTCAGGAGGTTATGCTGTAAATTAAGGTGGTTGGATGGTGGTTTAAATTCTTGTTCTATGTGCCCCCTTTTAATTTTAAGCACCTGACCCCGTAAAGGTCTCTGCACGGCCCTGCTGCACACATAGAGCAGAGCAAACAGAAGCGTGCGTTTTGGCTGCATCCACCCAAAGTGCAGAGGTGTGGCTGTGTACAAAGGTACAAAGGTTCTGTAACCACGGTGAAACAACAACAAAATAACGTTTTAATTCTTTGATTCATGTTTTTCGCCGATGCTGCTCTCTCTCCTCCTTCACTAGCTCTGTCTCTCAACCCCCCCATTCTGCCTTATACCGTTACTGTACCTTTTATACAGAACGGCCAGGCGTAAAAACTCCTGCAGTCAGTGGGCAACGTAAAAGGGGCTCGAGATAGATTATAGCCTGCGTGTTTTGGACATGTGCTATTTCATAAATTGTACCACAAATTTTCCACAGAGCAAAGCAAACCTTTTGTTGTCTTATGATAAACAGATACCCTACCACACTGTATGAATTACCATGGCCAGCATAGCGTAGTCCTCTTTCAAGACTGCCCGGAAGCCGAAGAGGGAAACGAGGAAAAGCAACCCACCGGCTGCAATGAGGATGAGGGGAGCTATTATGCCTGCTGAATCGGTGACCGGTATGGTCTTCTGCAGACCCACCTTAACCACGATTCCCAGCACAATCGCTGCTATGGCACAAAGCTGCAGGAAAAGAAACACATTCTATTAGGCTGGAATTTGTGGAATAATGTAGGGATGCACTGACACCACCTTTTTCAGACCAAGTGTTTTCATCTGAGTTCTCAACTATACTTAATAACAATGCAGTGTTTCTTCTATAAAAATTACAAATACATACAAGTGCAACAGCTTTAGAGATAGTCTTTATTTCCATGAGATTTGCTTTGATTGTGATAAAATAAAATAAATATCAAGAGGCTGTGCAATTATATCTTTTTGCTGATAGCCACCACTGAAATTTTGGATGCCTAAATAGCCTACTACACAACAAACTGAAATAAAGTAGTCTTTAACTTTTTGTAGGAATGCAGCCCTCTTAATTAGCCCTGTACATTTTACATTACCAGGGGTACATGCTGAGAACTGCAGCGTCTCTGCTGCACTACTGTACAGGAGCTGGTTGGTCCCAGCCACAAAGTTTACATAAACTCAACAGATTTAAACATACAGAACCCGTTAGACTCGGTCGTTAACCGCTGTACATAAAATATTTTTGTTTTCTTCTTTTTCACAGCAATCAGCATAAATAAGCACCGTGCGTGTCTGTGCCATGGGAGCTCCCACTGGCAGCTTGGCACCAGTAAACTGCAGGCGTGGAAAAAGGATGTGCCAGTGCAATATGGAGCTGTAAAGTCGCAGACAGTGACACGGAAGATGTGCATCAGCCTCTAGAAGAGGAGTGTCTCACCTGCTCAGAGGTGGCTGTGCTCCTTGTACATGTGTACGTGCATCGCTTTAATGGAGCGAAGGTGTGTGCGTGCAAAACATAACAGCCTCTCTGATAAGAAACACCATAAATCATCTTGTATAAGCTTATATCCTTTAAATATATATGTATATGTATATGTATATGCCTCATTAAACAGCTGCCTGTGACACTGTAGCCTGCAGGTGTAGGGGCGACATGCTGCACTGCTTTTCTAACAATGAGCAGCTCCAGTGCATTTGGAGTGTGGAGTGACCTAGGTGCGCGATTGTCTTCCCATAACTTATGAGAAAAACACACCTTCCCACCCAGACACAGAGAAAATGGAGATGTGTGATGACTCCACCTAGGGGCCCCACAGCCCGGCACCTCCCTCGCTGATGACGCATGGGTTCAAGACAGAAGCTGGGTAACCACCTCTGAAACCATTTAATAAGGAGGAGACCTACGTCATGTATATGTATGATATGACAAAGGTGTCAATATGTTGTGGTGGATCCCTTGACGCAGGAGAGATGACGGCGCATACGCCGTCCTCTGAGAAAGCAGTGCTCTCGTGAGCGAATTCAACTCCACCCAAGCTAAACAATCAGTTGGCAGTGTTGGGGAAAACTTCTGATCCTCACCGGCAACACCGGCACCTTTGTACAGCTTGAACTTGTACATCGAGCTGGAGGTATCAGCTCTGACCTGAGCTTGATAACCCCAAGGCTTTGGTTTTTTGGTTGTGTACAGCTTGCTGGAGTGCCTGCCTTTGGGCCTGGGCTCATTTGAAGGAGGAAAAGCTGAATCTGATGTTTAAATGACCAAACAGACACAGGACTGAGCAGTTAGAAAAATAAAGCAGAAAAAAGGCCACAAGTAAACAACAGTGTGATGCAGAATAAGATTTCAGAACTGCCATCTAAACTGACTCAGTGCAGCAAGAAACTTAAGCAGCAGCCGGTGTGTACTTTCTCAGGAACTATCTCACTGCTTTCACAGCAACACACAGGATAGAAAACAAAGTTACTCAAGACAAGAACGGTAACATCAGTGTTTCTCAACTTTATGCAAGTTGCAGGGTGTTGGGACTGGTTAGCAAAGTGATAATTGATCCTCTGTGGGAGCCTCTAATAAAGAATGTGCTATGAATCACAGGTATGAATCCGATTCGAAAGCTCACCCATGTGCAGGCAGATGGAGACTCATTTGTGGCTGTTTTTAACAATATAGAGGTATAGAGGTGGTGCTGATTTTGAGTGTTTAGTCACCAACAGTTTGATGCAGTTGCATAGAGAGAGTGGTCAGGGATGTTGACACAAAGCAAAATCTCACACTTGGGATGTTTACATATGGAGGCCTGTGGACAACCACAGCTGCAGGGTTCAGATGAGCTGACAAAGCTGCGAAGTAGATCAGCTTAGCTGAGATTCAGATATGTCGACCTTGGAATAAAAAAAACCCTCTGCTCTTGTGACAGTAATATTATCTAGATAGTGCTGTTTTTTGTTTATGATGACATAGCTTGATGGTGATGTCTCACACTACACAAAACGGTATATAGTTTAAGAAAACCTTGCTATTAGCTGACACTTCTCCGTGGTTGTTGAGACTAGTTGAGACTAGTAGAACTAGTGATGGTGGTTAGATAATCAAGCTGAGCAAATTTATGACAGCACAGCCTGATACACGCTGTGGGTCCTCAGAATGGGTCAAACAGTCATTTAACATAAATAGTGGGCTTGCTGGAATGACCCCCCATCTTGTGGCACATTTTACTGCATTGTAACTGTGCTGATTTTCTATCTCTCGGTAGTTAAATGTAGTTTGGTTAGAGATCAACTAATCCTAAACATCAGTAAAATGTTTATAAACTCAGTGTACATTAAACTGAACTGAGATCTCAGAGTTGTAATGATAATGGCTATTTGAGCATGAGATAAAGTTCAACATGATTCAAGACATTAATACTGTATATAAAAATTATATACTAATTAATTTTGGTGTGCATGTGGAATAGGTTGCTGCCTGTCCACTAGATGGCGCCCAAACACTCAGCTAATAAAAACATCTGAACCTATATTTACCTTAAACAAAACATTTTGAGTCTTAGCAACATGTATTCATGTCATTTTAATCCATTATTAAATATGATGGTTCCACAGTAACTTACAACGACCTGGTTTAGACTACTTCATGTCCACTGTATGTGTGCACACACATACATGCTGTGTGTCTGTCTGCACCCCTCCCTCCCTGTCTCAGACAGAGCAGAGAAACAGAGCTCACAGTCAGGTGTTTGGTGCCATCACTTATCTTAAAATATCTCCAACCCACTAAAATTTCTTCTCTGCCATCGAACAACCTGCTCAACCTGCATCATGTTGCTGTCAAGTGGTATTGGTTTGTTTTTTTGTTTGTTGGTTTTATTAGATCCCCATTAGCTACTGTATCCAGTAGCCATTCTTCCCAGGGTCCTTTGCAAATATACATACATGTGACAACACTAATCACGTTCTGTACAGTAGAAAAACAAATATACTTATATTCCACACACCATAAACATTACACTACTAGCATACACCCATAATGCACAAAAACACTAACACTGAAAGTTCACTAACACAAATACAGAGCTCCGAAATCTGATTTAAACTCCAAGTATAAGTACTCATATTATAGAATCATATCATAGAAAAGCTATTTTATCTGAAATTTCTTTCCAGTAAATGCTTTTTTGAACTTAAAACTAGAAGCACTGTTTTCCTTATTAAGCCTTTGGGGCTTTTATCATTCTTCTTCTTCTTCTTCATCTTCTTCTTCTTCTTTTGGCTGGTCCCATTAGGGGTCGCCACAGCGAATCATCTGTTTCCACCTAATTCTATCCTCAGCATCCTCTACTCTCACCCCAGTTAACTTCATGTCCTCTTTTAGCACATCCATATATCTCCTCTTTGGCCTTCCTCTTGACCTCTTGCCTGGCAGCTCCATCTCCAACATCCTTCTACCAGTATAACCACTATCCCTTCTCTGCACATGTCCAAACCATCTCAATCTGGCCTCTCTGACCATGTCCCCAAAACAGCCGACCTGAGCTGTCCCTCTGATGTGCTCATTCCTAATCCTGTCCATCCTGGTCCCTCCTAAAGAGAACCTCAACATCCTCATCTCTGCTACCTCCATCTCTGCCTCTTGTCTTTTCCTCACTGCTACAGTCTCTAACCCATACAGCATAGCTGGTCTCACTACTGTCTTGTACACCTTTCCTTTGATTCTTGCTGCCACTCTTCTGTCACACAACACTCCTGACACCTTTCTCCAATATTCAATTCATTAAGGCATTTTTTAGGTGAAATGTTAAATATTATATTATGATTACATTTAACAACTATTCACTTGATTTTAAGATTCAACGCTTCCATCCATCCATTCTCTGTACTGCTTATCCTAACGAGGGTTGCGGGCCAATCCCAGCAGACACTGTGTCTGAGGCGGGGTCCACCCTGGACAGGTCGATACAAAGGTTCTGTATAATCACACTCTTTGAAATGATGGTGACTCTCATCTACGTCTTTCTTTTACAAACACTGTGTGGGTGAGCAGTTTGACCATAATAGTCTGGGAACAACTATAGCTCTAAAGCAAACACTACAGAGAACTCTACATCCTTCATCTGGAGCACAGTGATGAGTCCATTCCCAGAGGACACAACTGTAATGCGATTCAATTTGGTGGTGGTGGGGTTAATCACTGAAACAATTTGTTTTTAATAAGAGAAATAAACTATTCTATCAACTGTATTAAACAAGTTAAATTTAGCTTTTAACACTTATGAGGATTTGCTATACTGTATGACTGTAAATTAAATCAATCCGTTTGAGTTTTGGATTGTTGTACTGCAAATGATCAGTCAGCCGAAAAATAATCTTCAGCCATTTGTTATATCATTTAAGTAATTTTAATGCTAAATATGCTGTTTATATAATATGAAGATTTCCTCCTTTTTCTGTTTTATATAATCAGAATCAGTTTATAATCAGCTTATATAATCAGCTTTATTGGCCGAGTGTGTTGGACACAGGAGGAATTTGACTCTGGTGTACGTACTGCTCTTCTGCAAGGCAACGAGTAGAGAAGAAAACAAGATAAGACTGAGTGAAAATAAATATATACATATGTATATATAAACAGACAAAACATTTGAAGATGTCACCATGGGGTTCTTTCCACAATTCTCTGACTAAATGATTAATAATTGAGAAAATGATTGGAGGATGAATCGATAATCTAAGCAATCCTTAGTCGTGTACTCCGGGAAGTTCTCATGGCTCTTTTTAACTACTTCATAGACTTGGTAAATGGACTGTATTTATATAGTGCATTTTCACAGTGTGTTGCACTGGCCAAAGTGCTTTACAGGGAGATCATACACCATTCACCCATTCACACACCGATGAAGACAAGGCTGCCACACGCTAGTCAAGCCACCGGGAGCAATTTGGGGTTCAGTGTCTTGCTCAGGGACACTTAGGCATGCGGGGAGACCAGGAGTCAAACCACCAACTTGCTGGTCAGAAGACAACTTGCCCTACCTCGTGAGCCACAGTCACCCCAAGACTTGATATTATTCAACCTCCACTGCAAATTATGTGTTTCAGCTGTTTGCAATGAACAAATCAAACAAGAACCACTGAAATAGCTCAACAGCTAATGTAAAATTCAAATTCAATCTAAATTCAACACAAAATGCAACTTTTAATGATGTCTGCAGCTTCAAAATTATTCAACCCCCTGAACAAAATCCCTCATAAGAGCACACATTTGCAAATCAGGTGTTGTCTCAAGCACACCTGATGCAACTGATCAAGGGCTTCATTAGAGAACACATCAAATACCCAAACTGGCTAGGGAGTTGTTGAGTGTCATGTTTGACTGCATGTTAGAAACATGGCTAAGTCAAAAGGAATGTCAAAAAAAGTTAAGAAAAGAGACCATTGCCTTTCACAAACAAGGAAAAGGATACAAAAAGATAGCACTGAATGTAACTAGAGACACCACTGGAAGCATAGTTCACAAGTTCAAAGTTAAAGGACTAGAATACCCGGATATGGCAGAAAAAAGGAAGCCGAAGCTTGGACGTCATTAAGTTTACTAAGTACTAAAACCATTTGTCATGAAGGAGTTGAATAGTTTTGAGGCTGCAGACATCATTAAAAGTTACATTTTGTACTAGGGCAAATGTGGTTCAGTGGGTGGAGCAGTTCTCTCCCAACCAGAAGGTTGAAGGTTCAAATCTTGGTGCCTGCAGTCCACGTGTTGAAGTGTCCTTGGGCAAGACACTGAGTCCCCAAGTTGCCCCCGATGGTTAGAGCCATCGGTGTGAGTTGGTGCCACAGATGGCTGCCATCGGTTCTGTACCGGAAACAAATTCCTTGTGTGTAACATACTTGGCCAAATAAAGGTGATTATCCTGAATTTGGAGAAGCGACCTGTTACATTAGTTGAGTTGAACTATTTTGGTTGTTTTTGATTTGTTCATTGGGGGTTGGATCATTTTGACTGCAAATGCCTACTGCTGAAAGTAGGAGTAGGATGTTTGACTTTTTTCTTTAATAAAAATGATTTGCCTGATCAACAAAATGATCAACTGAGTGTTAGCAGATTACGTTTCTGTTAATGTACTA